TTTTCTGATAAATACTGCTATGAGCTTCGTCATTTTTTAAAAAATTATGATTCCATAGGCTAATTTCACATTTTGTTCTGATCTTGGTAAGAAAGATTTCAACTTTGTTCCAATTCACTTTAAGCAAAACACATTGACTACTGGTTATCTTAAAGATATCCTCCACTCATATTCTGGTCATAAGAATTACAGATTAACTCAGCCTTTTTGTGCCATTAAAACAATGCATAACTAAAAAATACTCCTAAGAGCCATTTCCTGTCAATAATTAGACACCTGTGCTCCTTATGTACAATACCTGGGCAGAGAAGTACTGATCTGTAGTCTTGGTAAAGCAGGAATGACTTCGACCGTGGAGCCACTGGTTTTTATTCCTGGGAGGTTGTCCAGCAAACAGTCACTGAAAACACCAAAGACTGTGGTATGGTAACCTGGAACACAGAACAAAAACCTTTACACCACCCGGCAAGGCTTGGCATCTCACGCCCATGGCCAAATAGTGAAAAGAGGACAGAGTTTCTCTTCCAAAGACCTGAGTTCAGATGATGGCCTGTCATCTGCTAGTTCTCAACCACAGCTCCCGCCCTCAGCCTCAAAGACCCTCAATGTCTTCGTGTATAAAGGAGATGATACTGGTACCTATATTCTTATTTTGTAAGGCCGACTGGTGCAAGTAAAAGAGTATATGTGGAAGTCCTTATAAACTGCACATCTCTATATAACTTGATAACCAATATCTCATCCCTTCACTATTAATAATTTGCTTTTCAGATTTATCCATCTCTAAAATGAGAATGATAGTTAATATTCCTTTCCAGGATATAATGTGACTTAATGAGCATTTGAAAAATGCTTCAAAACCTTCTGTTGAGAGATGGAAGTTCAAGAGCCAATTATTGTGGTTATAGCTGCTACGTGATATGGCAAATCTGTAGTATGTATACAAGTACTATAATTTAAGATTAACAAATTTTCCGTGCAAAAAAAAAAAGTCCATTGGTTAGATAAGCACTTGAAATTGTTTAAGCAAAGCTTTAAAATGGCTCTTGAAATTTCAAGAGATAATTATTATAAACAACATTCACAGTGCAGCAAAATTAAACAATACCCAATGGCTAGATGCCTAGGGTGACAGCTTTTCTGCATTGGTATGAAACTGTTACACTCTAAACAGAGAAGCAAGCCATTCTCAAGGGCAAATCAGGGCCCTTAGATATCCCCATCGGCCTTCCCCTTCTTCTGCCAGCTTCAAGCTGCTCTTTCAGCATAATTCAAGTTCATAGCACCCACATTCCTTCCTTTCTCAAGTATGTTTCTTGAAATATTTCTTTACCTGGCAAACATTTTCCTCTCCAGAAACCCACATCTGTCTGGCACTAATGTCCCTCATACTTTTCTTTTCTATAAAACCTGGTATGATGTGGTTTTGTCTCCTAAGCATCCATTATTCTACAATTCTTAACTAAAATCAGTCATTTTCCTTTTCTCACCCTTTACTTAAAATAACTGCCACATAAACCCAAAAGTCTGATGACAAATATTCAGCACATTATGTCTAATAATACAAGGTCAGCCCTTTGGCTTCATATATAAGGCATGCCAAAAATGAACACTCGCTAGTCTGAGCCAAAGAAAAATAACAAAGAAATGTGTTACTAAGGCTCCAACGACTCATCTATGAACATATTAGTTATCGGTTATGTGTCATCCTGAATCCTCATTATTTCTTCTCAAATCTGTCTCCCTTGTGCCATTCCCCAGCCATGGCTCTGGTCCTACTTTGTCATTTTCTACCTGGATCATTGCCAGAGATTGAAAATTGGTCTCCCTGCCTCGAGTCCTTCCCATCTCCAGCCCAGACTTGAGCAGGCTGCCAGATCCTAAGGGATTGCTCTGAACTGTCCATCTGACCACATCTCTACTCAAATAAGGTGGCGGCCCCCCGCTGTCCTCAGGAGAAAGCCAACATTCTCTAGCACGATTTACAGGCCCTATAGGTCTGCCCTCTGCCCACCTTCCAGCCTCGGCACTGCCACCCCTGCCTGGGACCACCTACTCTGACCACCCCCAGTCCCCCAAATACACTATGTTCTCTCTGAGTGCCAGGTCTTTGAAGAAGTAGTTCTTTCTGCCTAGAACTTCCTTTCTACCCGCTATTGACTACCCGTCCTCCCCTACTGCCCACCCTCGACACATTTGAATATTTCCAAGTTGGTCTTTAAAACTCTGGGTCACTTACTAGAGAGGCCTTTGGCGACCCACTCTCTCTCTAGGTACATACCCAGAATGGTGCACTTACCTCCATCTTGGGCTTGCCGAACACACCCTAACCTAATTACACCTTCCTCACCCACCTAATAGGGAGCACCCTTTCCCAGTGAATGTTTGTTCTTCTAGCCAAAAAATACATACTGAAGACCTACTATGTGCAAGGCTCCACAGTAGGCACTGAGCTGCAACTGAGTGAGACAGACAAGGCCAGCAAGGAATCCATCACACAGGACACGGAGCAGGAGCCTATGGGGGCCTAAGTCAGCGAGCACACTGAAGTCTCCAGGAGGAGAGGAAGCCTAGCCAAGGACTGAAAGCAGCACAGGAGTCAGGGCTGGAAGCACCCTGACAGCACAGGCAGAGGCTCAGAGAGCTCGGAGTGCTCCAGAACTAGGAGGAGTCTCCTGAGATGGAGTGTGATTTAGGGGAGGAGACTGTGGAGGGCAGCTCCAAAAGCCACATTCCAAAAGCCATGCTGGGGCCTTTAGCTTCAAGAACAAGGGTCCCTCCAAGGCTTCCAGTCAAGAGACAACAAAGCAGATTTGTACCAGAAAAATCACCTGGCTGCAGATGGGAGACAGGTTTATTAGCAAGCAGGACTATAGACAGAAATACCTGTTCTAATGCCTTTGTGACAATCCCATAAGAAAGAGTCATGGTCTGCAAGAAAGGAAGTTGCCGTGGAGGTGGAGAGAAGTGGCCATTCTCAGGAAGTTCCCACGAGGAGTCAACGGGGGGCAGGGGAGTGTGTGACAGACAGGGAGGGGTTGAAGGTGACTCCCAGGAAGCTGGTTAGGGCAACTGGCTAACGGAGATGCCTGTGTTGAGACAGTCCTGGGGGGACAGGGAGCTTTGGGGAGGAGAAGCTGGCGTTCTGACTTGGATGTGTATGCAAAGAGCCGACGAGACTTTCCGGGCCACGGCCACAGGTGGCTGGATGTGCAGGCCAGGAAGGGATATGCCCTGGCGATCGTCAGCATGTCGACGGGACTGGAAGACAGAAAGGTCCACGGGAGTGATGGGATCACTGAAGACAGCTTGTGTAGAAGAAAGGGGAGGGGAGGGCGGGAAGGAGAGGAGAGGAGAGGTGGGGAGAAGAGAGGAGAGGAGAGGACGGGAGACGCGGAGCCTGGAGGGTTGGGCTGCACAAGTGGTACCTGCAAAAGATGAGAGACCCACACAGAAGGGCCAGGACACAGGGAATGGCCAGGAGGGTGTGGTGTCACAGAAGCCACAGGAGGGAGCTTGCTATGCAGGAGTCACAGGCAACAGTGTCAAAGGCCACTGGGCAGTGAGCTTACAAGAAAATTGAAAAGCAGGCCCCGGATTTAGCCAGCAAAATGCTGCTAGTGACCTCGGCGACAAGAGTTTTAGCCAAGTGATAAGGGCTAAATTCAGGATGCAGAGGGTTAAAGAACCAACACAGAGGTGGAAACATGGATTCAGTGCATATGAACAACTCTCTGAGGAGGTCCAGCTGGTAAGGAGCTCTGACCGACCGGACCATAGCAAGAGGGTCTAACTGCAGCAGGAGAGCCTTCGCCTGTTTTAAGACTTACTGGAGGAAGACAGCAGAAAGGAGAGAGAGGAGTGGGTGATGGGGCGAGAGCACAGGAAGGACCCCTCCCACAGCAACAGCAGCGCGCAGGGAGGGGCCTAGCAATCCTGCACACACAAGAACAGGCTTTTTCAAGTCACATCCCAAAGAAATAGCCCGTGACATATTTTCATTATCTTCTATTGGTTAGGACTGAAATGATGTGTGATCAGTGCTTGGCCTCAATGAGGCAACACAAGAGTTCAGCAGTCTTTCCTAAGCAAAAAGCATCACACAGTCCTCCTTACCATTCACAGTAATTGTGCCAGTCGTCTGTGGGACTCCAACAAGCGTGACTGGGTACAGGCCCGACTCAGCCGGAAGGGAGAGTGCTGCGGGGAGAGACTCAAACGCCACTCCGCTGGTGAGGAGCCCCTGAAACAAATGACAGAGCACCATGAACCCAGCCCGAACCCACCATGTGCTTTCAGGTCCAGGTGAGCCTTAAAACATCACTATAGGCACACTCTGGAACTGTCAGAACGAAAACACTAATGGTCTTTATAAAAACCCAGAGAGAACTTCAGAGACAATGTAAACTGTGATTAACACGAAACAATCTTGGCACGATAAGCACTGTGGGTACTCAGATGATCAAAAACAATTCCTCTTGAGTTTAGCCCTGTTTGCTATATTTTTGTTATTTGTTTTGTTTTGTCATTTTATCAAATGGGAATATGAGCCCAAAGAAAAAATATTTTATTTATGAACAAAAAGAAACAAAAACTTGAAATGTGGAAATGTATCATCAGTTAATCCCCCTCCAGTGTGTCTAAGAATTATCAATTCATTTCAACATGTCCAGGCACTAAGCTTGCTAGTGAACAAAACAGACAGATGCTCTGGCCTCCAGGAGCTACCTCATGATTAGAGACAATGCAGGGATGTCAGCTCTCAGGACCTATTGTAA